TCACCCTGACTGGGGAGAAGGTGAGGACATGGTATAGTAGGTGAGAATGGGATAGTCCCTCCATTCTGCTGGCCAGAGTATGGGGCCCGAGGCCAGGCCGTGGCCAGTTTGTAACCAGCTTACTGGGTTTCAGGTGGATGTTCACATCATGACGCAGCCACCCTCAGGTGAGTGGCTGTACCTGGACACTCTGGTGACCAATAGCAGTGGGCGTGTCTCCTACACCATCCCAGAGACACACCGCCTGGGGGTGGGTGTCTACCCCATCAAGATGGTGGTCAGGTATGTGCCTCTGGTGGGGCAGGCAGAGCAAGGCCAGCCTCCTGGGTATGGGAGCCAGGGGTGGGGGTGGGCTCCGGCCGGTTCTGACGAGCTGTCCCCGACGACCAGGGGAGACCACACATTTGCCGACAGCTACATCACCGTGCTCCCCAAGGGTACAGAGTTTGTGGTCTTCAGTATTGATGGCTCCTTTGCTGCCAGCGTGTCCATCATGGGTAGTGACCCCAAGGTGCGCGCCGGAGCTGTGGATGTGGTGCGGTGAGTGGCCCTTAGGGGCCTGGTGTGACTTTTGGAAGGTGGGTGGGCTGCAGACCAGGGGGAGGGGGAAATTGCACACAGCACAGCCTTGAGGACCTGAGCCAGCACCGCCACTGCCTGGTGGACCCTCAAGCAAGCTGCTGGCACACTTGATGCCGGTCCAGTTCCAAGAATGCCTCCTTTGAGGAGACCTAGGACACCTGCCTCCCGAGCTCAGTCCAGAGAGGCTTTGACACTGCCATTCACCCTCATCACTGTTCAAGCCCTGGCCAAAATGTATTCTCCTCTTTTCCCTGTGTGGTGCTAGGCGTTGGACCCAGGGCCTCACCCATACAAGGCAAGTGTGAGCACTGTACCATGAGCTACACTCCAGCCCTCTTCACTTTTTGAGACAGGCTGTCACTAAATTGCCCAGGCTGTCTTGAATTTGCCATCCTCCTGCCTCAGCCTTATGAGTGTCTGGGATTGCCATTAGGGCAGGGGACATCTCAAGGCCCAACTGAAGATTAATTTTCAATGGCCCAAATGAGCTCCAGCTGAGCAGGAGAGAGGGCAGCTCAACAGGGAGGAGGGCAGCCTGGGGACACCATGCCTGCCCCTTGCCTCTGCAGGCACTGGCAAGACCTGGGTTACCTCATCATCTATGTGACTGGCCGGCCCGACATGCAGAAGCAGCGGGTGGTGGCCTGGCTAGCTCAGCACAACTTCCCCCATGGTGTGGTGTCCTTCTGTGATGGCCTGGTGCACGACCCGCTGCGGCACAAGGCTAACTTTCTGAAGCTGCTCATCTCTGAGGTGGGGCCGAGGAGGACTGGGTAAAGGAGGGGGGGTCAGAAGGTGGGCCCAGCCTACACCCATGTTCTTGCCTCATCCACAGTTGCACCTGCGCGCACATGCGGCCTACGGCTCCACAAAGGACGTGGCGGTCTATAACTCCATCAGCCTGTCTCCCATGCACATCTACATTGTGGGCCGGCCCACAAAGAAGCTGCAGCAACAGTGCCAGGTGAGTAGGGCATACTGAAGGGCACACATGGGCCACTTGGGGAGCCCCCCAGGCTGCTTAACAACCCACCCTGCTACTCCTACAGTTCATCACAGATGGCTATGCGGCCCACCTGGCCCAGCTCAAGTACAATCACCGAGCACGTCCAGCCCGAAACACAGCCACACGCATGGCCTTGCGCAAGGGCAGCTTCGGCCTACCTGGCCAGGGTGACTTCCTGCGCTCCCGGAACCACCTGCTCCGTACCATCTCAGCCCAGCCTAGCGGGCCCAGCCATCGGCACGATCGGACACAGAGCCAGATGGACAGTGAGCAGCGCGGCCAGCGCAGCATGAGTGTGGCAGCCAGCTGCTGGGGTCGTGCCGTGACAGGCCGGCTCGAACCAGGGGCAGCCACAGGACCCAAATAGGACACCGTTAGGAGCCGCTGTGGTCTCCATGGTGCTAGGCCAGGGCACCGGCCCCACTGGGAGGCCTGGCCTGGGCACACAGGTGGCTGGGGACAAGCACAGACATGGCCTGAGAGCTTGTCCCAGGGCCCCTTGGAAGACATGGCCATGCCAACAGCCCTCCCAGCCTTGCCTCATGCCCTAGGCTCTGAGGAGCCCAGCTTGTCATGGAACTGGCAGGATGTCCAGCCCATGTTGGAAGAGGAACCAGGATGGGCCACTTAGCCCAGCCCGGGAGGCATTCTTGGGCATCTTTGCCCTGTGTTGATCTCTCAGCCTCCTGGTGCCAGGCGTGAGTCTAAGCCCGGCCTGCCGCCTTCTTGTCTACTGGCGCCCCTTCCCATTTGGTAGCAGCTCCAATGGGGGCCCAGCCTGCTTCTTGTTGACTCCAGTTCTCAACTGTCCAACCTCACTGGTTTTGCACTGGTTTTTTGAGAGTGGAGACCCGTAACCATCTCTTCTGGCTCCAGACATGTTGACATGCATGAAACCCAGTATCTGCTGATCCAGGACCTGTCACCACACAGAATACTCCAGTGTGGCAAATCTTCACACAAGCAGGAGAGAAAGGCTGTATCTTAATTTCTGCCGCTTGCCTGGCCTGCCAGCACTGTGGCAGCCCAGTGGCAGTCCCAGACTGCTGCCCACCCATCCACCTGCCCTACCCAGAGCTCAGTGCAGGCCCTGAGCACAGCACAGGCTCGAGGCCAGCAAAGTGCATAGCCGGCTCCTGGTAACCCATCTTGGGCAGCTGGGCCTGCAGAAGCCTGGCCTCCACCTCCTCGCCTGCCATAGGCTGGGGCCCCATGCCATGGCTGCTGCCCGTCGCGTTTCTACGCCTTTCTACTTCTCCATCTGGTTTCTATAAGGTTTTTTTTAACAGGCAATCCTTGGCTGCTTTCTTAACTCAGTGCCAGTGCAGCCTGCTACATTAGGACACCCAGCACTGTGACAGGGTCCCACTCAGTCTGGCCTGTGGGCCCTGCACCTGGTCCACTTGGCAAGGTGTGGGCTTCTCGCCTCACCTGACCCACAATTCCACCGACTTCCTACTCTGGGGTGGGTGGAGCTCTTAGGTTTTCTTAATGCCATTCTGTTGAATGTCTACTCCAAGAAGCCACAGCTTGCTGCGTCAGCTTAAGGGCAGACAGCCATTTTATTTCTCCCTAAACAAGGACAGGTGTCCCACATGCTGGGTCTGAGCCCTGCCTTCCCCGCAGCACTGAGCACAATTCCATTGCACCTTCCCTGTGCTGGCCGAGCCCACCCAGCTCAGGCCAGCTGTCCAGTGTCGGGGCTCTGTGCCTGAGGAGCTGCCAAGCTGGACTCAGACTCAGGGCCGAGTGGCTAGGCTTGCAGGTGTACAGGAGACGCTGCCTTTGCTGTAGAGACGCAAAGAGCACAGGAGTGAGTGATGCCCCGCCATGGTGGGACGAGACAGAAAGAAAGCTATTTAAGCTATTTATTTTGTGCAGAGAAAAGTCTGGCGAGGTGAGACCTTCATGGTCTTCCCTGAAGGTGTGGCTTTGTTGTGTGAGTTCTGTATAAAGCAGTGATTATTTTATGGACCAAGGCTCCATGAACTGTCACAGTGAAAGTGCAATGTCTACCCCCTTCCCAGCCTTGAAGGAAGCTGCTGGCCTACAATCACTGACCCACTAGGGGTCCCAGTGGCCAGTGCCTCCTCCCTTAGCCCCACTGTCTTTCCTCATCCTAGGTGACCAGCCATTGGGAGAACCATCTGGAAGCCTCAGGCCACCTGCAATAAAGGCCAGGGAGGCCCTGGGGTCAGTGGGCTTGGTCTCTCCCCCTGGGCAGCCCCTTGTGGCTGTGAATGCCCCTGCCTGCCCAGCCGCCAGCCATGCCAAGGATAACAGCAATAGTCCCCTGGGACTCTCCCAGGGCCCTTAGCCATAGATGGTGAGACGGGCAGCCCCCCCCCCCCCAAGCCTCACTCAAGTCTGCTCTCTGCTTCCCTTAAGATTCCCTTTGGCTAATTCTCTTAAGGAAGCCCCACTTTATAAAGACTAAGAGAGGAAGGTCAAAGTCCCTTAAAAATACCAAAAAATGTTTACAGTGTCAGGTGCTGAGCTGCAGGGCTCAGGCCTGGCCATTTGTAACCAAAGGGTGAGGCAGGCCCTGTTGCCTGCTGCCCACCCCAGGCCTGTTAGAATAGAAGCCTTAGTCAGTCCCTCCCCATCCACAGTCCCCAGGACTGAGCCTCAATGCCACCCAGCACCAACCACCTGCCTTCTCTTTGATTTCTAAAGGAGGATTCAGCAAAGAACCCCACCCCCTCCCTGGTTCTGTGTGAGCTGCCCATCACCCTACCCTGTGACATCTTCACATCTCAGCCCCCTCCCGTGTGTCCTGTGCCATCTGTTTCTCTGGACGATGTGTGAACTGTGTGTCCTGACCCCACCCCACGCTGTCCCTGCATCGTCTGGCCTGAGTGTGCTCTCTGTATACCATGTCACAGTCTGTTACACCAATTAAAGAAGCAGGAGGCTTCCTTCTGGTCTTGTGTTACTGTGGCGGCACCATGGGTCTCCTGGTGTGTGGGTGGGGCACGATACTGAAGGTGTCGTGCATAGGGACATCTACCGCAGTAATACAGACTCACCACTGTGACGTCAGCACACACCTGAGAACTGACTGCCCCTCTCATGCACAGACCTGGTGAGGTAGGTTTGCTGGCCTCTGCTCCCCAGGGAACACAGCCAGTCAACCAGAGCTGGGCCTCCTGCCCGGCCAGGCTCCTATGAAACAGGACACAAGCAATGGCCTAATGAGCTCAACCTAAGGACCAAGGCCGAGTTTGACTCAGCCAGAGTAGGATCAGGTCTGGTCCAGGCTGAGTCAAAGTGAAGAGAACAGGGAGGCTGAGTGGTGTTTACTTACTCCCACTAGAGGACATGCCAGCTTTCCCCAAAGATGAGCATGTTTTTCTAGAAGTCAAATGGCAATAGTCCCACCCCTTAGAACAGAAAGCAACAAGACAGGAACTCTGACCAAGATTATTTAATATTGACACTATACTCTCCCAATCCGGTGCTTAGGAGGCCACTCACTGCACCCAAGAGGATGCTGGCCTGGGCCAGAGGCCACCCACAGGAGAAAAGGCAATTGGACCCATCTGTCTCCAAGGCACCACCAGGAGTACACAGACCTGGGTTCTCAGGGAAGCAGGCCCGCTCTCATCTGGAATGCCAGGCCATCCCCTCGGGTGGCTTGCTGGGAAAGAAAACAGGATAGAAGCATGAGATACTGAGTGTAGACACCGCGTGGGCACAGCATGGCCAGAATGGTGACACCAACCTTGTTGATCTCTCTGTGTCGTTCTTTGGTTACGATTTCCTCTAAAACCTCACCATCTCCCTTGATGAGCCTGGGGGTCAGAGGGCATCAGCTCAGCAAGAAAGAGCCTGGGACTCTTACACCAAAACCACCCAAGGAAAGGGACCCCAAGGCAAGCCAACCATCTCAAGTAGGAGGAGCCTGGCCCCTCGTCCCAACCACCCTGGGGCCAGGATGGAGGCAGTCCAGGCAGGCTCTCCTTTGTCACAGCCACCATTTGCAAAGCCACACGGCTCTTCCAGTCCTGCCACTACTCAAAGGGGCACGGGGATAACAGTTGGGATGTCGCACCACAAGCTTTGTCTGTGACAGTAGTGGCTGCAGCTCCCCACCCTCAAGCGCATACCCTGGGCAGATCCTCCCGACTGAACTGAGGGCGGGACTAGCCGGCTGCGCCTGCTGCCCCACACACCTTGTACGACCTGTCTCTGGGTCCACCACCTTGCGAATGACACTCTGTCGAGCAACCCACTCCTCCTTTGTCATGGGCTTCATGGCCTGGATACGAGACTTCTGCTCATCAGTCAGGACTGGAAGGGAATATGGAGGGGGTCTCAGACTGGAGGGAGCACCCTCTCCCCGCCGCAAGCTGGCCCACACGGTACCTGGGCCATCGCTGTCCTCCCCGGCTGATTTGTGCCACTGATCCAGCGAGGGGCCGGGCAAAGCCTCAGCCGGGTGCACCACCCCAGGTCTGTCCTTGCCTTTCCTCTTCAGCTTCTTCTTCCGTTTCTTCTTCTTCCTCCTCTTCTTATCCTTGTGCTTGGCCCGCTTCTTCCGCCCATCACTGGAGGATGCGGACGATGCGGAGCTGGAGGAACTGGAAGAGGAGGAGGAAGAACTGGACCTCGCTGTCCGCCGAGCCTTGTGCTTGCTTCTCTCTGTGATGCAGGGAGAAGGTAAGGCCTCCGTCCCTCCCAACCAGCTCTCCAAGAGCATATTCCGAACCTTCTTTGGGGTTCTAGAAGTCACTGTGTGCCTGGCAGGGTGGCCAGGCCAGACCTCAGAGTCCCAGTGCATTGAAGCATGAATAAGGCACATGCTCCACCCAACCGAGCCTCCTTCCCACCCGAGGACCTCAGTCCAGGGTCTATCCCGAATCCCTCACTCCCCGGGGCAGACCGACAGACACAAGCTCCCGCAGCGCAGACGCTTCACGCCCCTTTCCCCGCCTCTGTGGTGCTCACCCTCAGAGGTGCTGCTGGCCTTGTGACCTGGGGATTTGGAGGCTGAGCAGTTCCTCGAGGCGTCCTTACTGCTCTTCTTACTTCGCTTTTCTGACTCCCGCCGACCCCGGGAACGGCTGCGACTCCTCGAGCGCTTGCGAGAGCCAACGTGAGCCATAGCAAAACGGGCTAGAGACCGGGAGAGGTGACTTTAACCTGAGCCTCTTCTTGGGCACGTCCACAGAGTAGATCCAAACTCAGTGCCAACGGGGCCTGGTCCTCCGGGCACCTAGTAGCCATTCCCACCCGAGAGCCTCACGCTCGGCGACTCCGCACCGCGCGGTCCCTTTAAGGGCCCGCCCCGCCCACACGCCTGCGCACTGGTCTCTGCGCCGGGTGGGAACTCCTCAACTGCAAGAGGCGGCCTGGCTGCCAGAGATGAATCTCGAGGGCCGCCGGTTCCAGCGCCAACCACCAGTCTACAGCCTGCCTCTGCTTGAGGAAACAGCGGCCAGTTGAGTTTTTCCGGTCAGCTTCCGGGATGTGTCCTTTGTGGACGACCATCCGGGTAGAGTTTCAGTCCATGCTGCCTTTAGTTCCGGACCCTGGGTTCCGCTTCTGACTCACCCACTTCTAACAAGGAGTAGGGCTCCACCTTGCGCCCCTACGTGGGGTGGGAGATGGGTTGTGGCCCAGGGACAGCCACAATCCGGGCTTCTCACTCTCCTGAAAGCCACCCTCCTCCTACTGTTCCCTCTGATTAGACTGCCGGCCTGTCCGCTCCACCAGACTGAGAATTCTGACAGGCTGAAGACTGTTTCCAACATCACTCAGTGGAGGTCGCAAATACAGCTGCCATCAGGAGCCACGGATCATGACAACCAATTAAAGAATAAATCCCCTGCCTGTCCGGTATGCAGCTGAGACCCTGCTCCATCTGATTTTTGCAGTGAGAATGGAGGCAGGTGTTTCTGTATATTACCACTTTCCCATAGTACCTAGGATTCAAGTTTTAACAAGAGAAGTCCCGGGAATACGTAACCCCAACAGTGCACAGCTATGTGCACCCACCATCCAATCACCAAATCACCAGTTTCAAGCTCTTAAATAATAGGAAACAGAGAGCTGTTATAAAGTGTTTTATAAATATCAACTTTTTGGACTGTTACAACACTCAGTGCACAAGCAAGTCCAGAACCACATAGCCGGACATTCCAGAACAGAGGCTTGAACCCAGAAAGTCTGGATCCCCACTCTCCAGCACTGGATAGACCAATGAACTCCACTTAAATCACTGGGAGCCACTGACTGGGTCCCCCCACCCCTCATCAGATCTCCAGGGGTCAGGTTGAGGCTGGGCATCATTAGAAACCACACCGTTTTGGGGCTCCTTCCCTCCCTGGGCCTGCTCTACCTTTGATCCTCAGTGCTTCATCTCAAACTAGGCTTGTCTTTCAGGAACTCTGCCCAACTGCAGCTCATCTGTCCAAAGAATGACCCATAAGTCAGCAAATCCCTTCGAGCCAAGTAGTGTCATGGCTGCAGTTTATTCCTGCCCTCCCTGCCCAAGATGGCAATACTCTGCTGCCACAGCACCAACACCTGGGGGTGGGGGGGGGACCAGGCTCAAGTCAATGCACACACATCTACTGTGGCAGGCTCCTCCCGGGTGAAGCCATCACCAAAGCCCTCATCATCCACCAGGTCTGGCTTCTGGCAACACATGGGACAGAGGCGGTTTCGAACAGCAGATGCCCGGAGCCAGATGACAAGGTTCCAGCGTTCTCCAGTACCCAGGGGCCGAGCCCCGTGCAGCTGGCCACCACGGTGCAGGATACCCTGACCCACCACGTGATCCACCTCCAGGGGTTCCATCAGGGCCACAGGTGCCTGCAGATGGTAGGGTTCAGGCTGGAGTACTCATAACTGCCTGGGCCCTGCATGGTGGGGCTCACTCACCTGGAAAAGGCCCCCAAAGTATAGGGCGCCCCCTGTGAAGGCCTTGCCAAGGGCCACATTGAGGGTGAGTTCAGCATTATCGTAGTGGCAGCCCAGCTCCAGGTCCTGGCCCAGTGCATACTTGACCACAAAGGCTCGGTGGCTATCAAGCTGGCCCCCGCCACACTCTGGGTACAGTAGGGCCAGCAGCGGCTGCAGGAAGCGCTCCCGCAGGGGTGTCACCAGAGGCTCGTCTAAGCCTAGCTCGTGCATCAGTACCTAAGAAGGATTCCCAGCAGTCAGCAGGGAGACTGGGGGAGCCTCACCCTGCACCCCCACAGTTCTTAGCCAAAGATGTTGCTAAGTGCAAGAGCTGTTTGCTTCATGGCACTTGTTGGGGTCAGAGCAAGGCGGGGAGCATGCCTGCAGCACCTCCAATGAGCACCTCGCCCTAACCCCCCTCACTCCCTGGGTACACGGGCAAGGCCTCACCCACCCCATAGTTGTTCATGGTGTTGGGCCTTCCCTTGGGCATGTCCGACTGCTCAAAATGCTCCAGCTCTTCCAGCAGGGCCTGGCAGAACTCCACTGAGAACACTGGCACCCGGTAGATGCGCTTCTCCTCTGAAGAAGGAGGGGCAGAGAGTGGGCCAGGAGCTCCCATTCAACTTCCTCATGAGCCAGCTTGTCATTTTGCTGCCTCAAGCCTGTCCCCTCTGTACAATGGGGACAGTAGCATACCGTCCTGATCCTAGCTGGGTGGTCAATAATTGAAGGAGTGAATGGAAGAATTAGTGAATAAGAGAGATGCCCAGCAGACTGGTGCCACTGGCCTTCCCAGTTCCTGGCGGCTCCTATTTTTAGACCAGAGATGAGAGGTAAAGCACCCTGCCTCCCACACCCGGGTACCTCAGGCTTCCACCACCTCCCAGCAGTGCTGGCTGGTAATGGAGTTGAAAGACCTCACCTGACACTACCTCCAGCCGCTGGAGCAGGCCCTCAAAGCCTGCGCCCGGAGACGCACTATATTCAGCGGCAGCCACAAACTCAGGGGCCAGAGCCTCATCCTGGAGCAAAACACGGGGCAGCTGTGAAAATTCATCCCCCACCAGGGCAGCCACCTCCAAGCTGGCAGGGAGACCTAGTACCTGCAGTGAGCTGTAGATGTCAGGCCTCGCTGGGTGGTAGGAGCTGGCAATGAGGGCTTTTCTGGCAGCTGATTCCTGCCCCAGCCTGCGGCGGCGCCTCACTTCCTGCTCAAGCTGGAATAGCAAAGGCAGTTACAAACCGGGACTACTCACCTCCAATGCCATGTGAGGCCCAGGAAGACCAAAGTGGGGCCCAGGCTGGAAGGTAAGTCTCCATACAGATGTCAAGGTGTCCTGACAGCTGAAATAGGGGTGGTGGCCCTGACTATCCCACTCAGCTGTTGAGAAGGGGACGATATAGACATTTTGGTCTTTCTCGATCTCTCTAATGGGCCAGGATTTAGGAACGGGGTTTAAGTGAAAGCAGGAATTGGGGAAAGAGGGCTAAGAAGCCCTTTGGCGTGAAGGACTCCAGGGGAAGGGCTGGCGAGGTGCGTTACCTCCTCCAAGAGTTGCTGGAAGTCCTTGGAACTGGCACAGCCGCGGCTGCGCAGGAGCTGCGAGCAGAAAAGCCAGTTAGCAACACTATGTGACTTGTCAATAAACATCTGTGAGCCTCAGCGCCCCCCACCCCTGTCACGGGGATGAGAGTGACGGGATATCGAGGTCCGTGAAAACTTTTGTCCAGTGCACTCCGCACGCGTGTTCTCAGCTTTCTAGGGAGATGCCATGCTGCAACGAGAGGCTAAGTGTGCAGACGCGGTTTGCAACTCGGGCAAAGCCAGTCCCGGTGCCCGGCCCCTCCAGCATTCGCTGTCCCCCACTCACCGGACCGTAGTCACGGCGCAGCTGCTGCTCGTCCCGGAAGCGCAGGTGTAGCCCATAGCGCGCCACGTACAGGTTCTGAGAGCAGAAGCAAGCGCACCGGCAGAAGCGCCGCGGAGCGGCCGTCGCCATGGTGAAGCGGCCGCGCCAGCTTCCGTAGCGGCACTTCCGGGTCCTCCTCCCCCGCCAAGGGCGTGGCCTCGACAACTAAGGGGCCGCTGTAAATACTGACTACAGAGAGGAACGAAGAAAGGGCAGGAGCGGGTCTGCGGGGTTTTAGAACGATGCCTCTCGGGCGAGGCGGGGGTGTCCCCAGCACAGGGTACGGACGAGTGGCCCCGCTTTACAAAGGGATGAGCTGGAACACTTACAAGGCGCACGCAGTGCGGGACCAGAGCCTTGATTTAAACGCTGCCCTCTGTCCTATTAGAAATTTATTTGCGGAGTCGCCTGACGAAGCGCTCAAGACAGGACTGTTAGGAGTCTGAGGTAAGACCGCTGCGCCCTCTGTGCGGCTGAGCTCGGGTTTGGCATTCACTACTGATCCCTGCCCTCCGGGAGTTGCCTCGGAGAGTGTCCCGGAGTCACTTCCAAGTCTCCTTTGGCGACTCTCGGATAGAAGCCAGTGTGGGCGGAAAGGTAGACTCGGTCTGTCGCGGGCACGCCCCTCGCCCCGGCTCAAGTTCAAGAACTTGTGTTGACGTCTTCCGGGGTTCCTCTGGGAAATGCACCACTACACACACTGCGGGCAGCCCAGGGCAGGTCCGCTGAGCCAGGTCACTCTGGGATAGCCCAGGTGCCTAGAAAGGAAGGAAGGAAGGAAGTAGCCTGGAAGGGGTGGGTGAACCCTCTTCAACAGTTGAGATGTTGAAAAATGGCCAGAAGTTCAAAAATCAAGAACGGTTGAGCTCCAAATTCAGTGAACCCTTCCTGAACCCTCTCAGCTTGGAATGTGCATGGGAGGGACAAAGCTCTTATCCCGCTATCCAGTTTCTCAACTCCCACCCCTAGAGCAAACATCACGCAAGGTACCAGCCTGTCACCGTGAAACTGAGGCTCCATGATGCAGTGTCCGGCCTATGCATCCAGTCAGGAGCTATATGGGATCTGAACCCAGGAGTGTGCCCTGTGAGTGCCCTCGGTGCCCTCCCACCACGGGGGGTCTCTGAGTGGGGGAACCCAGTGGCGTCTTCTCTTTTGTTTGCTAGGTATGGTTTCACTGATTCTCTGTGAATCCCGACGAGGTCACATGCTAGCGTACATGGATGGACACACTTGTGCACCCTGTGTAGCCACACCCTCACACTACCACTATCCTGTTCACACTTACTGACAAGCTCTATATCCAGAGGCATCTCCCACCGATGACTGACAGTGCTCTCTGCATACACTCCCTCACACACATCGGCATTCACCCACACAGCACCGGCATCCCACACAGCACATCCCAGGCTCCGTTTTCTATGGCAAGCCCAGCCTTGCCTACCTGTGACTGTTATAGAGGCTCTGGACCCCTCGAGGAGAGGATGCCTTCACAGCCTGTAACTTGGGGCCTGTCCTTCCTGTCCGACTATGATTGTCTGTCCCTGTGGAGATCCAAGGCTCCAGCTACCAAAGTCTTCCGTGCCCTCCCTAGAACCCTAGGGAACTACAGACGGCCCTTGGTCTCTGGGCAAAGCTTATGAAGACAGCTTGATTAGTTCACACACTGGATGCACAGGAGCTGTGAGACTCTCCCCAGTGCAAGTGTGCAAGGTATGCATGTGAGCGTGGGCCAGTGATTCTGGTGGCCGGAAGTTCAAAAATCAAGAACTGATGAGGTCCAGCTTCAGGGAGAGAATCAAACAGAATTGTTCTTCTGCAAGGGACTCGGACAGTAGATCAGGCTTCGCATCTTCACAATTCTGAGGTGTCCTGAATGGCTGCATCACTCCAGCCAGTGGTTCTCAACCTTCCTAACACTGCAACCCTTTAATATAGTTCCTTGTATTGTGGTGGCCCCAAACCATAAAATTATTTTCATTGCTACTTCATAACTGTAATTTTGCTACTGTTATGAATTGTAATGTAAATATCTTTGTCTTCCAATGGTTTTAGGAGATCCCCGTGAAAAGATCGTTCAGCCCTCCAAAGGGCTCTTGACCCACAGGTTCACACACACACACACACACACACACACACACACACACACACACACACACGTGCACCTGAACATGACCAAGGGAGAATGGCTAACATTTTCAGCATTACCTTTGTGCAATTTAGTCTTTACAATTTCCATTCTTGTCACAGGAAAGAGAGTGTGAGGGGGGTCAGTTGGGACTGGTCCCTCCAAGGTCACACAGTGGTAGATATGGAGCTGGACTTGTTGTTCCTAAAGGGACAGCCTAGTCTCCAACAGCATCCCCTTCAGATGTGAGGTCACTAGGCTACAGGAAGTCTAGCCTTTGACCAAAGAGCAGGATTGTAAGGACCTACTTCCTCTGCAGGCACTGGCTCCCTGGCCCTGAACCAGCCTGCCAAGAAGCCTTTTAAAGTTTCACACCTGTCTCGATTCCTCCGGAAACCCCAGCCACCCACAAAGGGACTTGTTTACTCATCTCAATGTTAATTATCGCTCTGCCTGCCCTCTGCTTTCCAGGATGCCCAGCTCTCCAGACAGTCAGCATACCCCAGCTTCACCTGACTGAATTTCATGGTTTATAGTTTGCAAGGTCAGTAGGGTCCATTTGTTTAGAGTGCCCACTCATCCATGCAAACAGTATCCCCATGCCCTGCCCTAGTCTAAGTTCAGTCACTAAAGGGAACAGCAGCGGAATACTTCACAGGAAGCACCGAATCGTATGTGCAGTTGGGCAGCACTGGCCTGGGTCTCCTGTGACCAAACATACCAATAAGTATATGTGTGTCTGTGTATGGGCATGTACACATGCATGTGGGTGCCCCCAGAGCCCAGCAGCGCCAGACCCACATGGAGCTGGGACTGCAGGTGGTTGAGAGCTGCTGGACGTGGGTGCTGGGAACCACACTCAAGCCGTCCCGCACCATTCTGTGGTTCTCTTTTTACACCTTGAAACAGGTTCTGGGTGGTCAGGCACGTGACATGATGTCCCTTGAAGGGACATAGGTTCTGTGTCTAGATTCCTCTTTGTGCAAACAGATGTGCTGCTGCTTCACACCACCGACAGCAAGCTAGCCTTTACTCCTCTGAATCCCCTTGGTTCTCTTCTCAAAAGCGAATGCCATGTCTGTGGTTTATCTCTGGGCTCTTTGCTCTGTCTCCTTGAACTCTTCTGCTGACACCATGATGTCTTGAGGACTGGAATCTTCACAGTAACTTTAAAATTTTTCTGTTTTAAGATTTATTTATTTTATCTGTACAAATGTCTTGCCTGCATACAGGTCTGTGTATTGCATACATGCAGTGCCTGTGGACGCTAGAAGAAAGTAGTGGACCGCCTGGACCTGGAGATACAGATGGTTGAGCTGTCATGTGGGTGCTGGGTACTGAACCCAGGTCCTCTGCAAGAGCAGCCCATGCTCTTAACCAATGAGCCATCTCTCCATCCCCCTGTTATTTATTCTTTGATAATTTCATATGTGCACAGAATTTATCTTTTTGTTTGTTTAGTTTTTGAGATAGGGTTTCTCTGTGTAGCCCTAGCTGTCCTGGCTCTGTAGACCACGTTGGCCTCAAACTCACTGAGATCTGCCTGCCTCTGACTTCCCAGTGCTGGGATTAAAGGTGTGAGCCACCACCACCCAGCATAATATATCTTGATCATCTACTCCCAGATACCTCAACACACTCCTCCACTCCTCCACTCAACACACTTTCCCTCCTCCACTCCTTCCTGTCCTTTGTTCTTTTTTTTTCTTTTCTTTTCTTTTTTCTTTATAACCATGAGTCCCATCAGAGCTGCCTGCTGGAAGATTGATGTTGGTTTGACCTTGTGCAGATAACCAGAAGTGCAATGGCCAGGACATGGTCAGGAAACAGCATTTCACTTTGCTCTTCCCCATCCTCTTGTAATTCATCTCACTGTGCTCCTCCCCATCCTCCCATTCATCTCACTGTGCTCCTCCCCATCCTCTTGTTGTTCATCTCACTGTGCTCCTCCCCATCCTCCCATTCATCTCACTGTGCTCCTCCCCATCCTCTTGTTGTTCATCTCACTGTGCTCCTCCCCATCCTCCCATTCATCTCACTGTGCTCCTCCCCATCCTCTTGTTGTTCATCTCACTGTGCTCCTCCCCATCCTCCCATTCATCTCACTGTGCTCCTCCCCATCCTCCCATTCATCTCAATGTGCTCCTCCCCATCCTCCCATTCATCTCACTGTGCTCCTCCCCATCCTCCCATTCATCTCACTGTGCTCCTCCCCATCCCCCCATTCATCTCACTGTGTTCCACCCCATCCTCCCATTCATCTCACTGTGCTCCTCCCCATCCTCCCATTCATCTCACTGTGCTCCTCCCCATTCCCCCATTCATCTTACTGTCTTCCTCCCCATCCTCCCATTCCTCTCACTGTGCTCCTCCCCCATCCTCCTGTTGTTCATTCCTTTCTCCCTCTTCCAGGATGCTCCCTGAGCCATGGTGAGAAAGCTGATAAGGATGTGCCATTTAGGACTGAGCAAGCAGTGATACTTATTCTGTGTTTGGACCAGTTTCAAGTCTCTGCTGACAACTGCAGAGGGGAGCATCCCTAGACAAGGCTAAGAGCAGCTGGAATCTATAAGTGCAGGTATTCAGAAGGCAGTTTGACATGTCACTTAGCAAAACAGCAGGTTCCTCACTAGGGCCTGTACGATTACAGTATGTGCTGGCTGGTTTTTATATCAGCTTGACCCAAGCTAGAATCATCTGAAAGTAGGGGGCCTCGGTTGAGAAAATACCTCCATAAGATTGTACTGTAGCAGGTCTATAGAGCATTTTCTTAATTAATGATTGATGTGGTAGAGCATAATACACTATGGGTGGGGCCACCCCTGGGCAGGTGGTCCTAGGTGCTATAAGAAAGCAGGCTGAGCAAACCATGAGGAGCAAGCCAGGAAGCAGCACCCCACCATGGGCTCTGCATCAGCTTCTGCTGCCCTGCTTGAGTTCCTGCCCCAACTTCCCTTGGTGATGGTCTGTTACCTGGATGTATAAGTAAAACAAACC